CCCCTGACGTGCCCCCCCAGGATGTGAGCCCCTGACGTGCCCCCCCCCAGGATGTGTCTGCTGAGATTTTCTTAATTTCTTATGTTTTGGTCTCCCAGGAGAATCCAGAAGCCCTTGGCTACCTGCTGGGGGGAGTTGGCCTAATTGTCTCTTGGACTTCCCGAATCCCTGCATTCTCTAAAATCGTAAGTGAGGGCACATCCGGGGCAGTGTCTTTTGGGGAAGACAGAACCTCTTAGACCAGGGCGGCGCAGGGTAGCAGGGTCACCCTCCTCAGGGACATCTGGCAAAAGTTGCTTCTGCGAGCCACGTGTCTGCCCTACACCGCCCTGGCCCAGAGGAGCTACAGACCAGACAGGGAACAGTCACAAAGCCAGAGATCCGTTGGGGGGGGGGATGGGCAGGGGGACCAGAGCATCATTGCAGCCTGGACAGCTAATGACAGGCCCAGGAACCCACTGGTCAGTCAGGACCAGAGCAGAAGGGTCTGCCAAGGAGGTGGGTACCTCCTGGGTGTCTCCTTCCCTATTAGCTGTGTCCTGAGCAGAGCAGCTTGGCCTGCCTCTGACCTGCTTGTGTGGGACCAGTCTGGATTGTTCTCGTGATCTCCTGAGCCAGGGCCAGGCTACGCTAGGCGGCTGAGCTGGGCCAGGCCCATGATGCCTATGACTTCTTGCCCTCCACAAGCCAGTGACAGCATCGAGGTCCAGGGGCCGTGCTGTGTTTGGGAGACCCCTCTCGACCCCCAGATCCATGGAACTCTCACTGTCTGTAGCCAGACCGAGGGCAGAGAGGGCTTTGAGGACGCCTTGGCCCATGGCCCCAACGTGAGTGAAAGCCTCTGGGGGCCTTTGGGCCCAACCTGACTTTTACTGACCTGAGCATGAGGAATTGGGTTTAGGGTGAATGTGAGGCCCTGCTGTGCCCTGCAGTCAGCAGAATCTGGCGGGATTCATGCTGGTGTGATGCGATCCTACGGCAGATCGTAAGTGCCGTCCACATCCATGCTGGGTCACCCTGGCCAAGCCACTTTTCCACTCTCCCCCACCCCAGCTGAGTTTTCTCCTGTATAAAATGGAACGACCACATTTGCATTCCTTACAGGGAGGATGTACAAAGTGCTTATGAACTTGGGTCACCTGGAGAGGGAGTGGCTACCATCCTGTCTTTCCCTCCTAGGCTCACTGCATTGTCCACAGCTGGGCCAGCCTTTAGCTGACCTGCCAGAGAATGGGAAGACAGGACCAGGCCACTATAACATCATGGAAGAGAGGGCTCAGTGTCGAGTTTGAGGACCCTGGTCAGCGCCTCAGGAGGTGCTCAGACAGTCAGGGCATCTGAGATCTCAAACTGGAAAGGCCACCCCATTTTACAGAGGAAGAAACTGAGGCCCACGAGGGGAAATGATTTGTCCCACTGTCAGGAGGCCTCAGAGTCAGGATTTGAACCCACACCCTCGGGTTCTGGAATACTCTGCTGCCTTGGAGGATGAGCCCTCCTTTTTATACATTCAGACATTCCAGGACTCACACATGGGAGCATTTGTACCGTGAGAATCCCTGTGGCCTCGAGGAAAGAGTGGAGGGCTTAGAAGCCAGAGACTCGAGTTCGAATCCTACTTCCAGTACTTGGGAGCTATGTGACTGTGAGTCACTAAGTCACTCTGGGCATCAGTTTTCTCTTCTGTAAGATGGGGATGATAGGAACCCATAGAGACTGCCCTCAGAAGCCTCAAATGAGATACTGGGTGTAAGGTGCCCCTTGAAGGGTCATTGAAATGTCAGCTTGAGACGGTAGCAGCATTCGTTGACTAAGGGCACACTCAAGGGAAAGGGCTTTGTACTTGGGGACCCTTTGAGATCCTACTTGCGTTTGAAAACTTGGGGCTCAGCGACCTGAGTGTGCCACACGCTGGCTCCATCTGCAGATGGTACTTGGGTTCATTGACAGATTTGTAGACCTTGGGAACCACTGGTCCAGAAAAGATTCCTTCATTTCCGGGGGAAACCCCAGCTCCCACAGGGGATACAGTTGGGCTGCTCCAGGAGGCCATGAGGTAGCCAGGGCCTTTCCTTTGGTTCACATGCTTCCTGGAAGCTGACCCTGCCTGGGCTGATCAGGGCGGGACAGGGACCCTTTTCTTATCCTTTTCTCAGAAGGGGCAATGAAGCTGTGACCCCACCTATCTGGCTGGTTAGATGTCAGGTGAGCTCTCGTTGGCTGCCCATCACCACTATGTTCTAGCAGCATCCTCCCAACATTTCCCCTTCCCTCTGCAGCCCCTACACACACACACACACACACACACACACACACACACACAC